AAAAAAACAAAAGCTTTAGAAAACAAATAAAATGAACAAAATTGAGAGATGTACCACATAAATACCCAAAACAGGATGACACTTTAAATTTGTCTCCTATGGGATCCCATTAAAAAAAACTTCAACTCAATCTTAATTTTTTTTTAAATATTTATGTTAGATCATTACAAATTAAAATCAATCAGATATAAATTATTTTATTAATTTTATTTTTATTGATTTTTTTAACAAAATTTATATAATAAAAAAATTAAAAGTAAAATTAAAGAAATAAAAAAAAATTGAGGTAGAAGGAGGTGCTACAGAGACACCTTCTACGTAATTAAGAATATAGTAGATGGAACCTGAAAGAGTTGTTGGAAATTGTATCCCACGGTGTAACATTGCATTTGCGTGTGTATTAATACCTGAAAATAACATTTTCCGTATGTGTATGTATGATTACCAAATGATCCAAGGAAATGCATCTAAATATGTGGAGTTGCCCATTGCTTAGCCTTGCTGCATTTTTCAGTCATTTGGGTGCTGATACGATTCTGCAAAAGATAATTTAGAATATGATATAATAATTTGATATAAATATAATATAAAAAATATAAATATAATATAATTTAAAATTTTAATAATTATTATATATAAATTTAATAAAATTAAAAATATATATTATATATATTTTTTTATATCAACACATAATTTTTATATAAAAATAATATAAAATGTATAAATTTTAATATTTTATATTATATAAATATTTAAATTATGGCCCCCGCCACTGGATGGAAGTGAAGTGCCTGAATGGTTCTCCTTGCATGGATTGACAGGCTGCCAGAAGTGGGGCCATCCGGGAGGACCACTTGTATGATTCCACGTAACGAATATGATTTGATATTTTTGGGAGCGGCCGGATGGGCCGCCTTCTTGACCATAGAAAGCTAGAAACAAGAATTTCTCTTTTAGATTCTCTCATACTTGCGATGAGAGGGACCAAACTAAAGCCTCTCTATTTTCGGGGTACGTCTGACAGGATACAAGAATTTGCCAAAGGTTCCTTGCTATATTCAAATATACTCTTGATTTTTTATTTTTTATTTTTGGCTTTGGGGAAATCGAAGGTTGAAAACGTGAAACAAAACAACAAATAAATCAATGAAGCGTAGACTTTTGTATATGTCGAAATCTTCAAGTCTTAAATTTTATAAGAGACGCGTATTTATTCTTTACTTTCTTCCCATTGAAGCTATTGGTTGAACAGTTGCAAATTCGTATCAGAATAGTTTTTAATTTAGCAGATGCCCAAGATTCAGGCAAGCAAATGACCTTTTTAATTAAAAATCCTACACGTTAATTCTTCATATGATAAGAAAACCATGAGAGAAAAAAAGGTGTAATAGCCGAGCATCATGTCGGTGCCAAGCACGGTGAACAAGGGCTGGCTGCCACTGCCAGTTTAAAGATAAAAGTTTAGTGAGACTGGGCCCAAGTTGGATAGAGTTTGGCATTAACAAGATTCTTTTCTCGGCTGTACCAGTATGTATTTGGTCCAAAAAAAATAAGAAAAGGGAAAATTTTCAATTCAAAGAGAAATAGAACATGATAACGGCTTTAGAGAGTAGACTGGACACTGGGCGGTTTTGTCAGCTGCTTTGAATTAGGTTACGCTGGAGCCGCTTAAGAAGCCAGGTTCATAGACGCAAATCATCATGTACTTTTAAGCTGGCGCTTGCTGGTCAACCAGCCTAGCCAATCAGGGTTTTTGGGTATTATGATTTGGACCTCTCTGTCATGTTAATTTAAATTAACTTTCTAAGCTCAAACTCTCGAATTGTCTTTGCCTCATTCCCTGTCTTGCACCGACTGCTTTTTCAATTATACTAGATAATCCTATCCTTGGGAATAGCATCATGTTCCAGGACTGAGATCTGAAATGCACGATAGTATTATTTCTGATCTATCTTCCCAAGCAGCACTGGGAATTGGCTTAAGCACTAATGTTGAATAGTCTCCAAAAGGTGGCTTAACTGAATCGGTTAATGTGACCACAATCTCCTTCATGCTAGGCCTTAATTGAGAAAGTCCCAAGCTGAGTTCAACAAAGTTTCCATGTCTTCGTCCTTGTACTCCTCTTTAATTCTTGGATCTGCTGCCTCACAGATCGTCCCTTAAGCTGCGACCTCACTCACCCAGCCAATAAGATGTCGACCAGTTTCAATTGTTCTACTTCCACATGCCACTGCCAGAAGTAATACCTCAAAACTATATACATCACTAGCCGCAGTTGGTCGTAATGTGACCAATTCAGGGGCCATGGATCCAACCGTCCCCCCTAGCCTGGTCACTACATGGTCTTGGCCATGGGAATAAAGTTTAGCAAGGCCAAAGTCCGCTAACCTTCCACGCATTTTCTAGTCCAATAACATGTTGCTGGGCTTTATATCACGGGTGAAGCTCCAACTAATGCCACAATATTGCCACCCTTCAGGCTAATAGTTTAAGCCTTCAGCCACATCAATGAGGACCCTTCTTCGTCTTTCCAAGCTTAAGTGATTTCTTGATTTGCGAAAGATCCAGCCGGAGAGGTTGCCATTAGGCATATCGTCATAGACAAGCATCAATTGATGGCCTTTTCTTGCACCAAACTCGCATGTTCACTAGAAGTTTTCTGTTGGAGCCTACACATGGTTGAGATTTCAGCCATGAATTCTCTTAGCCCTTGCTTTGAATCTTAACTAACACATTTCACTGCAACTTCATTGTTTTTTGAAGGAAGTCCTTTATACACTTTGCCAAATCCACCGGCACCTAGGAGCATATTTTTTGAGAATCCTTGCGTTGCTACACTTAGTTCATTGTAAGAGAATCGGTGCGGCCAATATTGAAGCTCCTTGTGCTGGGTTTTCTATTCACTTTCTTTGCCTCTTTTTTAATTTTCTTGACCAGAAACCAGTATTTTAGATACCCCAAGAATAAGATTAATGTAATTAGAACAGATAAGATGACAGTACCAACTATGAGGCCAGTGCAAAGTTAGGAATCTGAAGTCATTTCATGTGTGAAAACCAGTAAATTTGACCTACTTAGGTCTCTGGCAACTCATCCATTAGGCTGCAAGCTAAAACTCATTGTTCTTCAGCCCAAGCGGTTCTGGCAGCAGAGAAGCCAAAGAACACTCTGTTGGGTTTGTCAAAAGGTTTTCGAGGATCGTCAAAATTATGAAGTGGGTCGAGGTGCTCCAGCTGGAGCAATGGTGACATTAACTCTAATATTCTCCCAATCAATTTCTATCCAAGCTTGGATATTTTTGCCACTTCTCAACTCGATGGGCAAAAACTCTTCCATGGTAAGAGTTATGGTATCCCGCTTGATGAGAAAGCACAGATGATGCGGTACCATTAATGTCAATTCCTGTTATACTCACCGCCAGGTCAGTTAAGTCAGCCTCTAGCAATCAGCTCAATTGGTATGAGTCAATTGACTACGGTAGTGCAAGTCAACCATCCACTAATCACGCCAGTACCAATTCACTTTTTAAAAGGTGAAGTCTAAGTTACATGGATGTCATTTTAATACTTTTCATTTACTTTCACTCATTTTCACATTCTTCTACCTTTTTTTTTTTTTAATTTTCTCTCATCTATTATATTTTGCCTGTTTAAACTTCAAAAAAACTTTATCTTTTACATCTTTTAACTTTTTTTATTTTTTGTAAGTAGCTCCCATCTTCAAATCAACTTCTAATAAAGCATCCGATCACCTTAATAAAATAAATATCATAAAAAATATCTATACTATTACATATAAAAGGAGTCCTGAATGGTTTTAGGACTGTCACGTGTTCGGTTTTTTTTGTTGGTTTGCCGGTCTTCTAGCAATGCATTGAGCCATCGATTGTTGTTTACACATGCTCTTGTTTCTCTCTCTTTCTTCGCATAGCTGAGACTCTCTCTCTTTCAATCGAACCCTCTTTTAATCCAACTTAATACTTTTATCATTCCTTTCTGTTTTCCCTCACGCTTTCCTCACCACGAAGGTAATGCAAAATTTTTTTCTCCCTTTATTTCTTATTCTTCTTTTTTTTTTTTTTTAGTTCTTCTGTTATTATTATATTATCAAAACCAGAAAACAACCATTTTTTTTTGAAGTTTTTGTGTTAGACAGAAATCAATTTGATTCTTGAGAAACTCTATCTAGGTTTTTTGGTGAGTGAAGGGTTTAGTGTTCTTAACTCTCAGTGAACTAAAAGCCTTGCCGTTGATATGATTTCATCAGTTGATTATTTTCTTTTTCTATTTTAACTCTGCCATTCTCTAATGAGAAAGGAAATGGGAAGAATATTTTAAGATTTTGGTTTTTTTCTTAAACATTTGTAAAGGGAACTCAATGATGGATCTTATTATTTCCCAAAATTGTTTGAGTGGGTTTTTTTTTGTTTTTTGTTGCATGTTATTGGGAAGAGTTTTGCTTTAATTTGATGAGTATTTTATTTTTTTGCAGGAAATGTTGAAGGGTTGCTACTGTTTTGATCTAAGGTATTCTTATTTAAAATTCATGATCATGTTGTTATCAGATCTAAAGTTCTTTTTGAACTTATCAAAAAAACATTCCTTAGGTTTTAGAACTGATTTTGATCAAGTCTAATAATTTAAATATTAATTTATCAATATTCTTGATAAAATTTAAATTCTTAATATTTAAGGATTCTAATTGATGTTAATAACAAGAAATTTGATATTAGTTAAGAGTGATGAAACTATGCCAGATCGTTAAATTTGCAAAGACTCTAAATATTGGCTCATTTAGAAACTCATAGGTCGTAAGAGAAATTCTGAAGACTTTTATATCGGATGCCAACAGAAAGAGGTCAAATTGTATTAAGTGAGTTAATTTTTGTTTAGGGGTATCATTATCAACTTGCAACTGCAAAATCAATGTAGCGGATTTTAATGTATTTTGTGAATCTCCAGCGCCAATCACAGATGCACTTCCACTTAAGGTATGAATTGTTTAGTGGTTTTAACAGTGCCTCATATTTTGTTCCCAATTTCTATTGGACCCATATATGTTCCTGAGGCAGATGCAAGACCTTCCATCCTCAGTGGCGTCGTCAAATCCAAAATTAAAAAAAAAAACTGACACTGTCCCTAAGAGTAGAGGCTGCACTTCAAAGCAAATCTAGGTATGCTATCCTTGAATTTTTTATTCAAATTTTCTTCTGCACTTCTTCCGAACGTAATGCTTTACCAAGGGGTACCAATGTCATATAGATTTCCGTATGTAATTTATTGAAAAATTGGACAGAAACTATGAAACTGTATTTGGTTCGACTTTTAGGCTTTTAAACTGTATATTCAGTCACCTGATATCAATTAATCAACTAATTATTCTCAGTGACATGGCGCGAATTACAACATTAAGCCATTTCAATTATGTCACAGAATCTGTCTTTGAAAACCAAATACCAGAGTTTCAACCCTTTAAGCTTAAAAAAATGGTTACATCTATATCAGAAAATCCGGCAGATGCCTTGTCAGATGTCATTTTTATTTTTTACAGTTATTTAATAACTACTTGCCATTTCAGCCTAATCAGATGTATTCAATAATTAATTTGTATAAAAGAAAGCTGCTCAAGTCTCTGCATGCATCCTAAAAAATACAATTGATTGCTAGAATGCACTTCTTTTTGTGCTTTCAAGAGTATGTATTTTGTAAATACATTTTACAGATCTTTGTGTTCAGCACATTAAGATAATGGTATAATTAATCTATCATTAGCTTTTTAACCAATTTACTTGAATTCCTCCTTTTTTTTTTTTTGAATGCCTAATTAGGTTTGCATATGGGATGTTTATGCTAAAGTACTGCATCAATATTTTGTGCTGCCGGAACTTTTACAGGTTAGATTCCGTCCATTGTATCCAAAGATAGTTGCAAGTGAAAGCTTGGATCACAAAGTTCGCTTGTGGAATGCAAATACTGCTGAGTGTGGAGGATCATGCGATTCCTGTAATTACTCTTATGTATTTCCCTTTGTAACATTTCACATTGAGAACGTATGAATTTGTTTATGCCCTTTTTTATAGCTCACTTTTCTTTTCTACATGCAGACCATCCTATTGTATCTATTTCTTTCCATGCTCAAGGGGATGTTCTTGCAGTAGCATCAGGGCATAAGGTGAGGAGGATTGTTCCATTATATATGCAGTTTTTATTTGGGTTGTTATACAACTGCCTGACTGTAGAATTGTTTGTCAACTGTATATATGGCACTACAACAAGACATCCTCTCCAGATGTTATACTGAAGACACGACGTTGACTTCGAGATGTACATTTTCATCCACATGCAACTCCATTTCTTCTGACCGCTGATGTGAAATTGTTATCCCATCATATTGATTATGTACGTGAGTTACTTTTCTTTTACTTGCAGGAGAGAATTCCACTTGAAACTGCTTGATTATATAAACTAGCTGGGATAATTACGTTAGCAGGTTTCTTTTTTTTTCATTTTTGATATTTGATAGTAACAGGGAAGGGGTAGTATTGCAATTGTTTTCCTGACAGTCAAGAAAAGGCAATTTCCTACTCCAATCCTGGTACCATCTAAGCCACATTGTTTAAGGAGAAGGGATATACTGATATAAGGATTCAGGTCAAGTCGGGAGTTTTGGACACTGGCATTCTCAGGATCAACAACTTTTGACAATGGAAGAAACCTCTGCGGTCACAGCCATTGCCATTGATAGGGACAGGAATAGCCAACTTGCTGTAAAATAGGGGGTGGATAAACCGTTGAACACTGCCTCCAAATGCTTCCTCGAAGCTAGAGCTTACTTCCGTGTAGGTATCTCTCTCTTTCATTGTGATCAATTAACGATCATGGTTATCATGATTTTCTGATCTTTGGGTTTGGTAAATAATAGATATATTTAAAATCTCTTTTTATCTGTTGTAATTATGGTTTAGCATATCATTCTGAGCAATGCTTCTGGTGTAATTACGTTTAAAGACTTCGAGCTGATAATTCCTATCAATGCAACTCAATTTATTTAGCAATAAGTAACAGCATAAGCAGTATAATGGGCATTTTCATTACCTTCATTTCTTATTGTGTTTGATTTGTGCTCTTATGGTTTTTTTCACAGAGGATTTTGAAGCCGCACCTAAGGAAGGTCGGCCACCATTTGAAGCTGAGTTGAAGTTTATTTTGATTATATTACATATTTCCGCAACGTAGTGCGAGCAAGCATTCTAGTATATATAAATTCCTACTCTTTAAACAGTAAATACACATGTACATATGACTTAATGAAATGTTACTAAACAACAATTAGCTGATACTTATCAAAATGATTTCAACGAAGATGTGAATAGAAAAGTCCAATGTTTGTCTTTGACTGAAGTGCCATACGTTGCACAAATTCAGACATTAAATTTTATTAATGTACGGATAAATAGCATCTGTTTTTGGGTGAGCCACATGGCATTATTGGTTTTCTTTTAGCCTTTTTTTTCTTTTTAGTTTTTTAGTCTTTTGTTTTTAATTTTTTGGTCACTTTTATATTTAATAAATATTTTTAAAAGATTTTATTTTTTAATATCAAATTCTACTTTTTTTCTTTCTTTTTGACTTTTTTCATTTTCATGATTTTATATTTTTTTTATAGAACTCACTTAATATTTAAGGTATGTTAAGTGTTTTTTTTTTTTTTTTTTTTTATATATTTGATAATTTTTTTTACATTTCAAACTCTTTTTTGGCAAATAATATTTTTTTTTGGTTTCACTAACATGAAACAAAAAGTATTTCACGTGTCAAATTATTATTTTTTTTCCTTTTATCATTTTTCTATTTACTTTTTCTTTCTTCCTACCTTTTTAAAAATTTATAAAATATTTTAACTTTTTTAATGTTAGACCCATTTGATATTATTGATTAAAAAATTTTTTTGTTTTATTTTTTTATTTAATTTGATAATTTTTTAAAAAAAATTAAGGAAAGCTCATAATTGCTAATTTAGCATGACAATTCGATTTTTTTTTTCTTTTTCATCTTTTTTATAAAATTTTTATTAATTTTTCTTTTGTTGTGTTTTTAATTAGATAATTTTATTGCGAAAAAAGATCAATGGATGTGTACCTTTAACATTCTATTTTATTTTTTTGCTTTTTTTAATTTTTAATTTTTAATTGGATAATTTACAATAAAAATTGGTAAATAAATTTTTAAAGAAAAATGTCAACGAAGCTATAGGTAAAAAAGTAACCCGCATCTAATAGATTTTGTTTGTCTGGATTTAATAGGTGTGTTTTTTATTTAAGATCAAACGGAAGTTTTTTTTTTTTTTTTAAAAAATCAAGATTGAGTCGAATGTATATTTATAGTGTTTCATCTTGTCTTGATTATATATATTAAATTATATTTTTAATTATTTATTTAATTTATATTTATATATGTATTATATTAATAAGATATTATTTAATATCTTAATTTAATATAATTATCATAATTATAATATAATCCATCCATTCATCTATTATATAAATTTGACTCATTTTAATTTTTATTTGACTTTCATTCAATGTCTCAACTTGCTTTTTTTTTTTCTTTTTTTAATTGTTTTAATTTAAATAAAATTTGTGAAAAACATCTATGTAGGTGTCTAGGTGTCTACATGTTCACCTCAATTTGCTTTTCATTATTTCGTTTTTTTTTATTTTTTAATTAAATAAATTTTGTAACAAAAGAAACCAATGGAGAAAAATAACAAAACAACTCTATCATGATGTGTTCCCACTCATTTGGGATATTCATCTAGTATCATAATAAACATTATTTGCTATAATTTTTTTATTTTTTTAATTTTTATTAAAGTAATTTTATAAGAAAAAATGATGGTATCAACGTGGCACTCCATTTTGCTTTTTTATTTTTTATTTTTTTTAATTAAATAAATTATTTAACAAAAGAAGTCAATTGATAAATATACAATAATAATCTGTATTTGATGGATTTCGATTCATCTCGATATGATAAAAAATAATTTTTTAAAATTGAGATTGATTTGAAATGAGTTGAATTTTTTAAAAAGAAACAAACTCGAGTCAAAAACATATTTTTAGAGCTTTATCCCAACCCATTTCAATATATATATATATATATATGTAAAGTATATATTTTATTAATTATTTAATTTTATACATATATATTATATTAATAAATTTTTTTTACTTTAATTTCAAAATTTAATCTTTTTAACTTATTTTGAAATGTTAATGTGCACCCTCTATGAGATTTTATTTCATTTTTTCTCATTTTGTGTTTTCTTATGTTTTTTTTTTGTTTTCGCCTTTTCTAGTTTTTTCAATCTTTTTTTTTTGTTTTAGGTATTTATTTTTTGATTGAATAAATTTTTGTAAAAATGTAATTAAGATATCCACATGTCATTTCATTTTGTCTTTTTTTTTTTTACTTTTTTTTTACTTTTATCCTTTTTTACTAAGTCTTTTTATATTTAATAAATAATTTTTAAAAATTTTTGTTTTTTAAAGATTGATCTTGCTTTATACCGTGCTTTTTTTTTTGTTCTTTCTTTTTAATTTTTTTTGAGATTTTAAATTTATTTTTTAATTGTCCTACGTGATTTGAAGGGCATGCCACGTATTTATTTATTTATTTATTTTATATATTTAATAAATATTTTTTATATTTTAAATTTTTTTTGTCTTGTCAACTTAGTATCAAAGATATGCCACATGTCAAGTTATTTTATTTTTTTTCTCTTTTTTTTTTCTTTTTTAACATTTTTTATTTACTTTTTCTTTATTTTTTCTTTTTAAATATTTATATATTTTAAAAATACTTTAGCTTTTTCAACGTGGGACTCATTTGGATTTAAAAAGTATGTTTTCGTTTTTTAATTTGGTAATTTTTTAAGAAAAGAATATTAGGGAAAGCTAAACATTTCAATTGTTGCGTGACAACTTGATTTTTGTCTTTTTTTTTTTAATTTCTTTTGTTTTGTTTTTTTTAATTTTTGTTAATTTGCTTCCTTTATTTTTCTTTTGTTTTTGAATTAAATAATTTATTACAAAAAATCAACGGATGTATACACTGGGCACTTTATTTATTTATTTTTTTGCCTTTTGATATTTTTTGTTTTTTTACTTTTTTGATTGAGTAATTTATAATAAAAGAATTAGTAAATAAAATTTTTAACAAAAATTCCAATGGAGGTATGGATGAAACAAATAGTACGTGTCCAATAAGTTTCGATTCATTTGAATCTTATAATTGTATTTTTTTATTTGAGATTGAATCGAGATTTTATTTTTGAAATTCAAGATCGAATTAAAGACGGGTTTATGATGTTTTATTTTATCGAAATTATATATATTAAATTATATTTTAAATTATTATTTAATTTATCTTTATATATATGTTATATCAATAAAATATTATTTAATATCTTAATTTAATAAAATATTATATTTATTCATAATTAAGGTGTAATTCATTTATCTATTATATAAATTTAACTTTTTTAAAATTTTGTTTGACTCTCATTTAAGGTCTGTATTACTTTAATTTTTTTTTTCACCTTTTTTGTTTTTTTATTTTTAATTTAAATAAATTTTGTAAAAAAACACATATACATGTCTATAAAACACCCCAATTTGCTTTTCTTTGATTTTTTTTTTTCGTTTTGTTATTAAATGAATTTTTCAACAAAATGAGTTAATAGATGGCAATAGCAAAATAATTTGTATCCAATGGATCACTTAATTGGGATGTCATGGTACCCTAATGAACTTTCTTTTTCTTTTTATTAAAATAATTTTGTGTAAAAAATCCAATGGAATTATCGACATGGCAACTAATTAGGATTTTATTCCTTTTCATTTTTTTATATTTTTTAATTAGATAAATTTCACAATGAAAAGTGTCAATTGATAAAGATGTAACAAAAAAATTCGTATCTAACAGGCTCCAATTCATCTCAATTTGGTAAGCGCCAATATTTTTTTTAATTGAAATTGACTGGAGATAAGTCTAAGTTTTTTAAATAGAACTAGCTCCGGCCAAAGATATATTTATATTATTTTGTCTTAATGCATTTTGAAGTATATATAAAAGTATATATAATTTATTATTTATTTAATTATATATATGTATTATATTTATAAAATTATTTTTTTAATTTAAAAAATTAAATAGTATAAGCTCAACATTGGGTGACAGAATGACACCCGAGCTCTTAATTTTTTTAAAATTTTTTTCTCATTTTTGTTTGTTTAATTTTTTAATTTTCTCATTTTCTTTTTTTCATTTTTAATTTTTGTTATTTATTTTTATTGAATAAGTTTTATGAAAAAAAGGTCAATTAAAATATTTACTTGTCATTTTAGTTTTTGTTTATTTTTTTAATTAAATAAATATTGAAAAATTCAATAAAATAAAAATAAAAAATTAATCTGCGTGAACGTTTGGCCTTTGCCTAGGGTAAGATAAATTTTCTTTATTAGGCTTTGAGAAATGACGAGAAAAGCCAATATGTTTTTAGATGATGTAATTATCTCACACTGAGGATAGTCCTGTATGTATAATTTTTCTGAATGCAAACGTTGGGCGAGCGTATGGAGTGGAAAGACTGTCCAAGTCTCGAAGAAGCCATTCCCACCACTCATTTGAATGCAATCAGCCAAATCCATTACCTTTCAACCCAAAACAAAAATAGACCAAAACCCCAAAACTAAAGATGCACACTCCTCCCCCATTCTTCTTCCTCTACCAGCTACTACCTTTTCTCTTCCAAATTCTATGGCCAATAACTCACCTGAATAATTGTCCTCGTATTCTCGTCCCTCTCTCTTTTCCTAAGTCTACCACCTCCGCCTATGCTTACTCTGTTTAGTCATGACTCCTTTTTCGTGTTTGCCTTCTGCCAGAAACACCGCTTCCCCAGCAATTCTTCTCCGAAATCCTCATTTACATGTTCCCAAATACCGTTACCATGAAACTCAACTACCCAAGAAAGAGAATCTTATGTTGAGGCCTTTCCATGTTCCAACCAGGCCTTATCTTCCAGTCTTGATCTTAACAAACTCTAAACTCACGCACCCTTTTGCAAGTATATCTTCGTTTGCGGAGGCCGAAGGTGAGAAAGAGCAAAAAGATCAAGGAATCCAACTTGAAACGCATCAACAAGATGCTAAAACAGACGAAGATAACCTGCCTGGAATGTCTCAAGCCTTTCATATATCTTCAAGAACTGCTTCTGCTATTGCTATATTCATAGCATTTGCAGCTTTGAGTCTTCCATTTTTTATGAAGTCTTTGGGTCAAGGAGTTAGCTTAAAGACCAAGTTTTTATCATATGCAACACTTTTATTTGGATTTTACATGGCTTGGAATATTGGAGCCAATGATGTGGCTAATGCCATGGGAACTTCAGTGGGATCAGG